CTGCAGTGGCCCGGGAGCGGCCACTGCACTCCAGTCTGGGCGACAGAGTGATACTCCAACTCATAACTAACATTGAACCTGGTGAATAGTCTTCCAGGAACTCTGCTCATGAGGTCCCAAAAAAGATTTCTGTTTAGTATTTCCCTATTTCAGGACATGGGATGCGGAGGTCAGTGCCGTGCTGGCTTCGGCGTGTGGGCTGGTGGGGACAGGTGTGCCTTGCAGAAGGTGCAGTCGCCCCCACGTAGGAATTTTCAGTCTTCAGAGTCACGCGCCTTCCCCGGGAGTTATGAGAAATGCATGCCCCTTGTTTTGGATGCCAGTGGCAGACATGCACCAGTTGAAGTTGAACTCAGATGTGGAATGTTTTCTTCTTAGGACAGACCAGAGGTTTGCTTTATGAAAGGTGCTTACGAACAAGTGATTAAGTACTGTGCCACCTACCAGAGCAAAGGACAGGCCTTGGCCCTCACCCAGCAGCAGCGCGATGTGTACCAGCAGGAAAAGGCGCGGATGGGCTCCGCCGGGCTGCGAGGTAAGGCCGGTTGCTGGAGTCCGGGGGTGGAAAGGCCAGGCCTGCCCTCAGTTGCAGGTGCATCTCCCCTTCCCTGGAGCCGCCCAGCTCTGCTCCAGGCTGTGCTGAGCCCCTGTTGCTGGGGCGCAATGCTGCGGTTGGCTCGTTGACCCCAAAGAGAGAATGGCAAGAAGGTAGCCAAGTGTGAAATTGGGTTCTTCGAGACTTCCCGTGGTCTCCGAGTGGGGGATAGAGGTTTTGTTTTCAACAAGGTCATCTTGTGAGAGGGGAGATGGATCAAGGTAAAGCCGTGTTACTCTTTCCTTTGTCCTCATGTTGCTTTGCTAATGGAACCAAAACGCTTTCTTAAAAATGGAAGTCTGAAGCCTCCGATTGGCCCTTTAAGGTGCCTTCCAGCTGGATCCTTGCCTCTGTCTTCCTTCTGCCATTTGCCAGGCAGGTGAAGACACGCCAGATACTGCTTTGTACATGCTACCGACAGGACGGTGGAGGCAGGGGTCTGCCAGCACACACAGCAGGCCACCTCCTGGGACGGCATGGGTGGGGTTAGAGGGCCGGGGCGTGGGCCTCCTCTTGCTCCTGCCTCCAGATGGCCAGCTGGCTCAGCAGAGTCTGCACGGTTACCTGGTCTCCCAGGAAGCAGGCAGGCATGGCTTCCCTCACCTGGAGCTACAGTTCCTGCGAGGAAGTAAAAAGCTGTGAAGCCTGTTTTTTGCATGGTCACTTAAGCAAGGGCTCTCTTGGGCTTAAAGCATTTGGGGAGATGTGCGGGACTTCTATTCTTGCAGTAAGCTAAGACGGGAGAGGTGGAGAACCCTGCTGCCACTCCCTGCCATGCCTGCTCTCCACCCCAGCCTGTGAACCCAGGCCCCCTTGTGCCACCCAGAGCTTGGCGGCCTCAGGGCTGTGGACTGTGCCAGACCCTGTGCCTCAGGGAAACTCAGGTGGAGGCCCTCGGCTGAGAGCCTGTTTTGCAGGTGGGTGTTTTTGTGTGGAAACAACAACTTTTCCATGCTCTTTTAAGGTATAAGAGGCTCTGGTGGCAGGTTCCTGAGTTCCTGGGTTCTCTTCCTGGGTCTGAGTCTTGAGCCTGCCCCTGCTTCTGCGCCTCGGTCCGTGGGCCTTCTGGACCCTAAAGCAGAGCAGATGGTCTCTCCCCGCGGCAGTTCTGGGGCAGGGGGCCTCCTCTGGTTGAGTGGGGCTAGGCCTGAGCGTGGCGCGTGCTCTGGGGCCACAGAGTCCTGATGAGCGGACAGTCTTACACATGTCCACAGGCTGACTGGACACTGGGGTGATGGGCGCTGGCCGTGCCCCGCACACTGCACCCTTCTCCCCTCTAAGCAGTGGGCAGACCAGACCGTTTGGTGGCCCAGCCGTAGGCAGCCCAGACCCTGCGCCCCGGAAAGTACATCGCCCTTCCACCTCTTTCAGCTTCCACCCCAGCTGGGCAGGAGAGCGGCCCCGTCAAGGCCTGTCCAGGATGTTCGTTGTTGGAACGGGGGATCCTAGGAGACTTGAAGGCAACTGCAGGGAGGCCTCAGGGCCAGGAACGAGGATTCTGGTCACCAGTGCGCGGGCATGAGGGAGGGGCAGGGCCCGCTCATCTGGGCTGTTCCCAGAAGACCACAGCTGTGGGTGTCTGTTGCTCCATGGGTCACTTCCTCCTCCCTGCTGACCAACTGGGGCTCCGATGCCTTAAATCAACTTTGTCCTAGATGCACTTAGTTTTTTAATAAAAAGGTTCCCTCCCCTTTTGAGGATGTCATCACCTCTGCTTGCTGGGTTTGTTTCCAACTGTTCATAAAGCTGTGAAACTCTTTCTAAAAGGCCAGAGTTCTGTCAGTCTTAGGTGGTGCACAGCAAGAGGTATCCAAGTGGCATGGATGCGGAGCCTGTAAAGCCGTCTTAAAGGTCTGGCATATGCCCCTGGTTTTCTTAGTGTTTGGAACAAAGTTTTCAGACTGCATTCTTTCTTTTTCCTTATTTAAATTTTTTATTGTAAAGATGTTGGGTTAAGTATACAAATATTCATTATGCAGGTGCCCTTGCTGATGAGGTGTGCCTCCCCTTCTCCACCCCGCGGGTAGAATCCCACTACTGACAATTCTTTTCTCACAGTATTACGACAATTGTTCAAGGTCCACTTATGAGTGAGAACATGGGATACTCAGTTCTTTGTTTCTGTGATAGGTCACTGAGCATTATAGACTGTAAAGTCCATTCGAGTTGCTGTGAAGTTTATAATTTTGTCCTTTGTTATGACTGCATAATATTTCATTGTGTATATGTGCCACATTTTTTTTAATCCAGTCCTTTTTCAATGGGCAGAACGTTTGGTTCTGTGTTTTTGCTATTGTGAACAGTGCTGCAATAAACATGCATGTGCAGGTTATCTTTTTCCAAGAGTGATTTGAGTTCCTTTGGGTATATTCCCAATAGGGGGATTGCGGGGTCTTATGGAAGGTCGATTTTTAGACCTTTTAGGAAACACCAGACTGTTTTCCACAGAGGTTGTACTAGTTTGTATTCCCACCAACAGTGTAAAAGTGTTCCAGTGCGTTGTTTCAACTAATGCCTTTCATCTGCGGCTCTTGGAGGTTTGTGGATGTGTGGTTCTGTGTTGTAACGTGGTCCAGTGGGCCAGTGTCGGTAGAGGAGTAGACCGCAGTCGGGTTTGGGGCGACATTCTGGTCACGTATCTCCTGCTTTGTGTCCTTCCTTTTTTCTTCTGTGTGCACCACTGCCCTCTTCCCCCCAGGGCACCAGCATGAGGAGCAGAAAGACTTTATCTTTCCGTGGGTGTACACTTATGTGACACTGGATAAAACTCGAGTTTCTGAACGTGCTTGTGGTCCTTACTTTGGATGTTACGGTATGTTTTGTTTATGGCAGCTGCCCTCCGTGTGACAAAAGTTTGTGTGTTCTTTACCCAAAGGGTAGCCGTAGATCTTCATTTGTGCTAGAGACTCGCCTCTGGGCTAGGACATCCTCCAGTGGCGGTGCCCCAGAGCTGGTCTTTGTTTCTTAGGATTTGCTGTGCCCTTCTGCTGCCGTCTGCCTCTGTACTCACTGTCCCCTTCTGCTGCCGTCTGCCTCTGTCCCAGCACAGAGGGCTGTCAAGTGGCTCATTGTCTCATGGGTGAGAGCCTCTGTGGCCCACACCTACACAAGCAGGTATAGGCCTCTCGTGTGGGAAAGGAGAGGGGCTTGCCTTTATCCTTGGTCTTCTGAGGACATCTGATCTTCCATACCCTCAGCTTGAACAAGAGTAGAGGCTTGCTTTGTTCTCTGGTACTTTTCAGTCTCCCCTTGAGTTCTGACCGTTAGTTTGTGTGCACGTGGTGTGAGTTGTTCAGTCTAATAATGTCCCAGATGCAGGCGTCCCTTGAGTTAACAAGAGTACTGCCAGAGGCTTCAGAATCTGAGAGTAAGCTAAATGACATTTGAGACATGAGCAGTACTTTGTGCTGTATCCTAAGTGCTCACGATGACAGGAGACTAACTAACATGGTGGCGTTACTTACACACTCCTAGAGAACCAGATTTCAAATAAGAAATGTCTGCTAATGTTATAGAAGGATCCAAGCTGTTGTTGGTATTAATGGTTTTACAACCACTTTCTAGATTAACTTTGCCATCCCCCATCCCCCATCCCCCTGGGTTTGTCATGTACAACATTATTGCAGGCTGTGTGTAAGAATGATACAGCATTTGCTTCAGGCTCTTGGATTTTTCAGGAGATGCATGGAATGGAAAGATGAAGCTGCATTAGAAGTCATGTTCAGAGGTGTCTGTTTAAAATTGACTTCAAAACTGGACAGACCCATAGTTTCTCTAAATAACTAGTTGTATTTTCTGGAAGCGGTGACTTCTGTGGTGAGTGACTACGTGTGGTGCGGCGTGGAAACCTTCTTCTGTCTCTCTCGCTTGTTTTCTCGCCTAGCAGCTCAGTTTTATTTTTTTGTTTGTAATGCTTTTGGTCTTAAAGATTATTAATAACTATAGATGATGTTACAGTCTAAAGTGACTTACTGGAGAAGTGTTATTGCCTCCAACTTTTACCAACTAAATTCCAGTGTCTTTGTGACTCACATTTTTTCTCTTTTATTTTATTATTTCTAAGTTCTTGCTTTGGCTTCTGGTCCTGAGCTGGGACAGCTGACATTTCTTGGCTTGGTGGGAATCATTGATCCTCCCAGAACTGGCGTGAAAGAAGCTGTCACAACACTCATTGCCTCAGGAGTATCGATAAAGATGATTACTGGAGATTCACAGGAGACTGCGGTTGCAATCGGTATGACTTGGCTGCTTCCTTTTATTGGGAATAGTCGTTCTTAGACTACTGCAGTGCACAGTATTGTGGACCATTGGCTACAAAGTATAGCTTTCTATACTTTATGAAGTACATCTTTATGTCGTATTGGGATTATGAAGTTAAAGTCACTCACTCTTTGGCATACTCCATGTAAAATAGAGGACAGAAATTGATTAAAGTTTAAAAAGTAATACCATTACCAAAATACATAACTTGGTAAAATCACATATGTATTTTATTCACAGAAGGGTAATTGATTATTTTTAACCTCATAATCTACTATGCTGACAGATAAAAGCACTAGATCATGAATGTGAAAGGAAGAATGAAATTTAGTTTTTTCTTTTAACTTATGTATAAGTTTCAAATCATACTAGTACATTATTTGAAAAATATAGCTTGTTATATGTATTTCTATTTTCTCATCATTCTTATATACACCTGTGTTGTCTGAATGTCACTTATGACTAACTTAAGAAGTACAGTCTAAGAAAAAAAGTTAATGAAAGTTAATCTCCAAGATCCTGTAAACTGTAATTCATACTGATAACAATTTGCTATACTCCATTAATTTTTTTTTTTTTTTTTTTTTTTTGAGTTGGAGTCTCACTCGGTCACTCCTAGCCACCGCAGCCTCACCTGCTGGGCTCTGGCAATCCTTTCGCCTCAGCCTTCCGAGTAGCCGGAATTATAGGCATGCGCTACCATGCCCGGCTAATTTTTTGATTTATTGTAGAGATGAGGTCTTGCTGCCCAGGCGGGTCTCGAACCCGCGGGCTCAGGCAATCCACTCACCTCAGCCTCCCAAAGGCGCGGGATTACAGGCTGAGCCACTGAGCCTGGCATTAATTCTTACTTAAGTTGGAGAGGGGCTGGGCCAGAAGTTTCAAACTTGGTTGTCTAAGGTCTCCAGGTAATAACATAATAGTGTTTGGAAAATGACTTCCACGTTTATTTTCACTTACATGCACCTGCATGATTGCCGCCAATTGCTGTGCTGTCTGGCTTTGTATGCTGTACTGAGGGTGTGCTCTGCTCTTCGTGGCAGCCACTGAGCACAGCTCAGTGAGCTCTGTTCTTAAGTTTAAGCACAGTGAAAGAGTCAGCCGGATGCGCCAGACTCAATTACTAAGTCAGATAGGTTTGTCTTACTGTAGTGAAGAGAGCAGATGACAAATCATATTGCATAAGCATTGTATCGACTAGCCCAGCAAGCAAAACAGTTTGGCTCATTACGTTTTCTTTTTTTTCCACTTAGCCAGTCGTCTGGGATTGTATTCCAAAACATCCCAGTCAGTCTCGGGAGAAGAAATAGATGCGATGGATGTCCAACAGCTTTCTCAAGTCGTACCCAAGGTAGCCCAGCCAGTGCCTTCTAGATGGGGGGGGTCTTCTTTTAAGTGTTTCCGTTTCTACTGTTGTCTTACTGAAACTGTTGATTAGAAACAGCTGGGACATGACCCCCACATCTGGTGGTTCAGATCCTGAAATGAAATCTTATCATTGAAATCAGTCTTGCCATTGAGTATGATGTGATCATCATGAGTATCGTGCAGAATCACTAACCAATGAGCAAGACCTGAATTTCCTCTGAGGAAAAGTCTATGGAAATTAACATTGTGCTTATCAGTTAGGGATGGAGAGAGACTTTTGCTTTATACTTCTTACCCTTTTGTTCTATTTTAATTTTAGCATACGTATATACTTATTTTTTTAAGTGAGGTATTATGTACATATAGGGTACAATTCTGAGCATTGATGAGTGCATACATTGTGACCACCACCAAAATCAGATTGTACCCCACTTCCATCATCTCCTAAATTCTCTGAAGCCTTTTTGCAGTCAGCTGTTCCCCCCGTTCTAGCACTTAACAGCCAGGGATTTATCTTCTGCCCTGTAGTTGTGCCTTTTCCAGAAGGCTCTAGAAATGGAATCGTACAGCATGAGATAGCTTTTTTCTCTGCTTCTTTCACGTAGCTTAATGGAGTTGAGATTTATCCATGTAGGTTGTGCTGTGCTTTTTTTATTACGTAGTGGTATTTCACTACATGGGTATACCTTACCTGTTCACCAGTTTAAGGACATTTGGCTTGGATTTGGTTTTGATGAGTGTGAATAAAGCTGCTGGAAACACTTGTGTGCAAGTTTTTGATGAAAACTAGTTTTCATTTCTCCTGGGTGAGTAACTGCTCCTGTGAGTAACTTCTCCTGTGAGTAACTGCTGGGTCATATGGTTGAGGCATGTTTAACTTCATGAGACGCTGCCATGCCGTTTTGCCAGTGGCATTGTTCCTTTGTGCCCTCCCATCAGTGCCTGCAGTTGCTAGTTGCTCTCTGTCCTCACTGCACATGGGCTTGCCCTTGCCCTCGACCCTCACTCTGACAGGTGTACAGTGGCCTGCGATTGTGGCTTTAACTTGCTTTTCCTTTGCAGCTAGTACTGTTGAGTATCTTTTCACATGTTTAGTTGCTGTCTATATATCTTCTTGGTGAAATGTCTGCCCTGCTTACTTTTTAAAAATTATAGTTTCTTACTGACTATTTTGAGTTCCTTATTGTAGATACAATTTTTTAAATGAGAGATTTGGTTTGAAAATACATACTTCTTTCTGTTCTTTAATGCTATCTTTCAAAGAGGAGATGTTTTTAATTTTGATGAAGTCTCAGTTGTCACTTTCTTCTTTTATAGAAGAAAATGCTTCTGATGTCTTGCCTAAGGATTCTTTGCTTAATCCAGGTTCACAGAGATCTCCTTTGTTTTATTCTACAAGTCTTATGGTTTTTGATTTTATACTTGAGTGTGTGTGTGTGTTGTAATGAGTTAAGGGTTATTTATTTATTTATTTATTGCATATGGATGTTCAGTTGTTCCAGCACCGTTTTTTGAAAAAACAGCCTTATTTTTCACTGAGATGCATTTTTATCTTTGACTGTAATGCTTTTCTAACATTATTTATACGGAAAAAGGTATCTTTCATCCCCCCCAACAACTGTGTCTTTAGAGCCAGGTTCCCTGAGGTTAGCTTATTATCTTGGGTGCTTTGTGGGACCTGGCAGAGCCTGGTTTGCACAGGTCCCATGGGAGGGACCCAGAAGTGAGGTGGGTGGTGCTTCCAGGTGGATGACAGCTCAGCTTTCTTGGTCTCATGGTTGCTTGACCTGCACATGCACATGCATTCCTGTATCTCTCAGAGTAAGCACTTGCCTGGTGCCTGTTCTGTCAGGCATCTTTCAGGCATCCATTGTCCCTAATGAAAGGTGCTGCCATCTTCACACAGATGAGTTATGTAGTCAGAGTATGGAATTTTAACTATTTCTGCCTTGTACTAATTTCTTCTCTGATTCGAAAATGTATTGATCAGTAGTATATGTTTATTATAGAAAAATTGAAAAATACAGAAAAGTAAGAGCGATAATGCAAGCTGCCTGGCATCTGACTCAGATGTCAGAGGTTGTACCTCTGGAGAGCATTCAAGACAGGGTGACCCATGTGACTTTGGAAATGCACAGAGCAAAACCTGGCTGGCACGTGATAGTGTCATAGTCCTGAACATGCGTTTTACATAATGTTGGCATTTCTGAAATCATTAGTTCTTTTAGAAAACATGTTTTTAATGGCTACATAGCATTTTGCTTGGGTATACCATGTGTATGTGTGTGTAAACACACAGTATATATGTGGTTGTATAATCATTTTCATGCTGAAATTTGAGCATCCATTTATTTGTTACTCCTGTAAATAATACCTTAAGGATTATTTTAATACGTTAAGGATTAAACAGTAGCAGCCGTTTTTCACATGCCACACAATGCATATGTTACATACACGATCTAGTTTAATGCTCAGTAGAGCACCTTAGAAAAGATAGGCACCCCATCTCAAAGATTTTAATACGTGATAGAGAGCTTTTAGCACAGGGTTAGATGTAGAGATCTGCACGCCCGCCCGCTCCAGCCCCTGCCCTGCACAGCCTCTCTTCTTGTGAGTGGCCAGAGTTCTGTGGCACACTCGCTTCAGGCGAGGAGCTGCTGTGGTCGCGTCTTGGTGTAGTTTGTGGTTTAGTTCCGGTTTGCTTTTTGGGCTGTGCATTTCTGCAGGTTTTGGCAAGTGCGTTACGATACCTGCCCACTGTTACCGTTTCATACATACTAACTTCATTGCCCTAAAAACCTTCTGTGCACTGCTGTTTTCTCCCTCCCTGCCTCCCCTCGAATCTCTGACAACCACTGGTCTCTTTTACTATTTCTGTAGTTTCACCCTTTCTAAAACGTCACGTAGTTAGAATGATATCATATGTGCCTTTTTAGACTGCCTTTTTCCACGAAGCAATATCACTTATAGTGTCAGCGCGTCTTTTCTGGCCTGGCAGCTCATTTCTTGTGAGTGAGAAATAACACTGCACTGGACGAGCGTGCGGCAGTTTGTTTCTCACTTCATCTTTTGAAGGGCAGGTTGGTGCGTCCAGGTTTGGCATTATAAATGAATCTGCTACAAGCATTCGTGTCTAGGGTTTGTGTAGACTTAAGTTTTCATCTTATTTGGGTGAATTGGATCATATGGTAAAAGTATGTTGAGTTTTGTAAAAAACGTAGGCAACCCTCTTTTTATAGATATGGAAATTGAAACCTCAGGCTTCTGGGAGGCTTGGCTGCTACGTCAGAGCTGGTGAGTGGTGGCGTTGCGACTGAAAGCCAAGGGCTGCGTGATCCCAGTACTCATCTGTAGTTCTCTGTTTCTTGAATATTTGTTCTCCAAGGCTTTGTGCCCATCTCTGATTACTACTGCACACAGCGTTTTGACGTGTGGAAAGATTGGATCAGTGACCAGTACACATTGCTGAATTGTCCTCTGGAAAGGCTTGTGTGTATGTTTTCGTAAACTGCACTTAATAACATTAAGTACACTACTGACAGTCATAGGAGTGTAACAGTCATGAGCAGATGACCATCTTTATAAAGAAATAGGTCAAGATGGAAATGTATAATCGCACATCACTGTGGCTGGTGGTTGTGTGTGCACAGCTTTATAACTTTGGTCATCTGAAATACCTGACCAACAACCTGAGCGTTTTTACAAGTTTGATCAAAAACCGTGGTGGGTCCCTATGACACATGCCCTTGCCGAAAGAGCCGAATCTCGAGAAGTTTCACCTTTCATGAATGCAGATTTACAGAAAGGGCCTCTCTTCATTGATTGAGAAGTTTCAGTGTTGTTACATATGGCGCAAGGCTTACACACAGACTCCACGTTGTGATAATGCACTGTCCAGGAGTCACACTTGCAAGAAATGCATAAAATGACTTAGAAGTCTCCAGGTCTCGACACAGTGTATACCTCTAGTATTGGAAATGATGTGAAAATGGGATACATAGCATAACAAGTTATAAACAATAATGCTGACAAGCCCGGGCAACATAGCGGGATCCCTGTCTCTTAAAAAAAAATGAGCCAAGTGTGGTGGTATGTCCTGTAGTCCCAGCTAGTTGGGAAGCTGAGATGGGAGGATGGCTTAAGCTCAGGAGGTCGAGGTTACAGTGAGCTGTGATTGCTGTCAAAAATAATAATAGTAATAATAATAATAAAAAATAATGCTGAAAATTTAAGGTAGTAAAAAAAGAAAAACAAAAACTAAAAGAAAATTTGACTTGAAAATGTGTATTGCAGGGATATGCTAGGGTAATTGCATGGAGACAGTCCATCAGAAGTGGCCAGCTTTCACGATCATTAACTATGGTTTGAAGTCTTGTATCACCGTGAGCAGCTGTTTGTTTTGTTTTAAGACCTGACTCTCCTCAGAGAAAACATTCATATATACTTTCTGCTTGATACTGCTCTTTAAAAAAAATTTTATTTGTTTTTTGAGTTGGAGTCTCACTGTCACCCAGGTTGGAGTGCCATGCTAATGGCTACCATAGCCTCGACCTGCTGGACTCAGGTGACCCTTCCCTCCCAGCTTTCCAAGTAGCTGGAGCAACAGACGCATGCCACCATGCTGGCTAATTATTTTTTGTAGAGACAAGGTCTTGCCAAGTTGCCTAGGCTGGTCTCAAACCCCTGGGCTCAGACAGTTCTCTTGCTTCCACCTCCCAAAGTGCTGGGATTACAGGCATGAAGCCACTATGCTGAGCCTCTTTGTGAAATTCTTACATGATTATACACCAGCTTGTGATCATTTCCTGTTTCGGGATCTTGATCTTTAGGGATCTCAGCATTTGGGATGGTGGCATTTAGTATTGTGTCTCTTGGGGATTGTGCTCCAGGCTCATTTTCAGAACATCTGGGGCAGTGGGGCATTTGCTTTGTTTTAGATTTGGGGGGGACAGTGTTTACTTATTTGAATGGGGCTTTTTTTGTGTATGTTCTATCCTGATAGTGTCTTCTTGGTGTTTCTTTCTGAAAGAATAACTTCCTTACTGGTTTCTTCGGGGGTATTGGGACAGAGTATACGAGAGTAAGTGTATGTGAAATTCACAGCCACTTAAGCATCTTCCCATTAGACCTTTGTCTAACCATTCCCCAGAGATACTCAATGTAGAGGTGGTGAACTGGCAGATGTCACATTTCCTGTATTGGCTCTCATCAGTTCCTCCTCTCCTCTCTGATAAAAAGCTAGGGAACTCTGGAGACCAAAGTAAGGGTCATTCAAGAGGAAGAAACAAGTCACGGATGTCATCATCATCCTCAACATACCACATCACTGGTCTCTTCCAAATGGAGTGTTTGCGTGCTACTTGTGGCATATACCCTGATGCTCTTCCAAAGAGGTGACAGCTGACCACACCTAGGCCGTCAGAGCCACTGAATTGCCTGGCCTCATCCTGCTCTGGGATTCCTTCCTGGTGTTTCAGGTGTGTGAAGACCCAGGTCTTTTCTCCGGAGGTTATCAGTGAACCTTCTGCATCTTTGGCGTGTAGCAGCACTGCCCACCCTTCGTCTTTCTCCCTTTGTCTTGTGTTCAAGTCGCTCTCGGACAGCTGGCATGCATGCTGGGCCTTCTGCTTTTGCCTGAGAATTAAACAGAACCTTGGTTTTAAATCACTTGCTTGGGTTTTCCCACATGTCCTGGAGTTCATGTGAATTCTGCCCCTCCCGGTGGTGTTTCCCAGCTCCCCTTTCCATGATTCTTGGGCACACCTTCCACATCTCCCAGCACGGCTGTGCACTTTTGACCTGTTACCAGTTAGAAGGTGCTATGAAGCTGAGTTTTCCTTGGTTATTTCTTAAGTCACCTGTGAGTTCTCAGTGGTTTTCTTCTGTGATTTCTTCCAGTGTGTCCTGCCACGTCCAGTGATAGAAGTGAGCATCCTCTTTCATTCTTGTTTTCTGATTTTTATAGCAGCATCTCTGTCTGCATTTGCACCAAATCTGAACTAACTCTCCCTAATATTATCGCAGGTTGTGTGCTGCCTACATTTGGGTAGGCTGCAAGTCTTTATTGCTGCTACCTGCATCAGTTATCTTTTAATGTGTCCTAGAAGAGTTTAGGACCTTTGGCAGGTTATCCTGATGCCAGAAATGCCTTTTTCTGCTCACCTCGCCTTCAGTGTTTCCTTTCTTCTTTTCACACTTTTCTTTCACTACTACAGCTTGTCTGTGAATCTCAGTCAGAAGAACTATGAGTGCTGACCACAGGGTGACTCTGCAAGGAAGGAGCCACGGGAAGAGAAAACCCTAGTGATTCCTTTGTAACAGGGCAGGTTTGTCCCACTCTGATGGCTGTTGCCCTTCATCATCCACATCCTTGGTGCTTTCCTGTTGGACATCATTCTGCCTTGACCTTTGTCCTCCCACCATCAAGCTGTGGTGCCTGGGCTGTGTTCTCATCCTTAATCACTTGATTCCCTGTTTCCGGGTAGAGGAGCAGACACACAGCTTGAATTTAAGCTCTGTGAGGTTGTGGCACAGTTCAGTTCTTGGTGGCTTTGTGCGTATTTATTTGGTTTCGGATCTAACTTCTTCATAATTTCGTATTCATTACATTTCAGTACTTTTACTCCACAAACCGACCTGCTCCTTCTGGTACTTTGAGAACAGAGTCCACACTCTGCAGCAGGGGAGCTTCGGCTTTGCGCTGAGGCCTGCTTCCTCTCAGTGGAGCTGCCCTGGTTTCTGGGTTGCCGTTAAAAGCTTTGAAATGCTAATAAAAGCTTTGAAATGCTAAAGCAGCCGGGCTCGGTGGCTCAGCCTGTAATCCCGCGCCTTGGGAGGCTGAGGTGAGTGGATTGCCTGAGCCCGCAGGTTCGAGACCTGCCTGGGCAACTTGGCGAGACCTCATCTCTACAATAAATCAAAAAATCAGCCGGGCGTGGTAGCATGGTAGTTCCAGCTACTTGGAAGACTGAGACGGAAGGATCACCGGAGCCCAGCAGGTCGAGGCTGCGGTGGCCGGGAGCGGCCACTGCACTCCAGTCTGGGCGACACAGTGAGACTCCCAACTCAAAAAAAAAGAAATGCTAAAGTCTTAATCATTTAAGGGGAATGCTGGGTGCATGCCAAATAACTTGCTGTTATACAGTGAAACATACCTTCAGCCCAGCAGTTGGTGGCTGTTCATTCTGCTCCATTGTCAGTGATAATCTATAAAGGCGTGATTTGCAGCGGTTCCAACATAATTACGTGGAGCAAAGGCGAAGTTCTACTCTGTACCACCTGAGTGTTTGTAATTTGCCTTTTATTTATTCTGTAATTTCTGCAGCTGTTGCTAGACATTTCTATTATATTTCAGTTCTGTGTGCTACATGATTAATTTCTGTAGTAGTAGAATTTTCGTTGAGAAGGTTACCAGTATACTTTGAATATAATGTAGCTTAGTCCTTTGTTGCACTGCTAAAAGAGTCTCTGAATGGATTTTTGAACTTTTTGAAAGGACAGATACTCTCCAAATATGAATTAAGTAGAGTACAGTTCAACGGAGTCTTGTCCAAGAAAATAATCATCTTTTGTTTTAGAGCTGTATTAAAAGGAGAGACCCTGGGGACAGTCCTCTTGTTGGGACCGAGGCTCACTCAGTTGTCTCTTCGTGGAACATGCCTTTATGGAGCATGGCAGGTTCAGGGCGAAAGCCTCTGCCTTCATGGAGCTCACCTTCTGAGACAAGTGAATATACATATTATGCTAGACCAGTGCTGAAGAACACCCAAAAAGCAGGTCAGGTGACAGGAAGACAGGAGAGGGAGCTGGACATTACTGGAGAGCAGGAGGGACTGCTGGACACACAGGGCTGGCCATGTGGCTTCCAGGAAAGAGTGGTCCAGCCAGAGGCCTTGAGGCAAGTGCACCAGGTGGTGAGGGTCAGGTGGGAGGGGCTGGACGCTGTGACAGGGCTGGGGGAGGCCCCCTTCACGTGGGCTTGGCAGAGAGTGAGAGACTTGGGCGATGTTCTGAGAGAGGGATAGTGTCACTGAGGGTGTTGAGCAGAGGGGAGAGGTGGCCTGACTCCTGTCTTAGCAGCCCCTCTGGCCATTGTGTTAAAAGCAGATGGCAGGGAACAAGGGCAGAAAGAGGACGGTCAGCCTGGAGGAGTGGCCTGGGGCGTGGCCGTGGTTTTGGAGTAGGTGTTGGGATTCTGGACATGTTTGAGAGCGGGTCCACAGGTTTGCTGTCTGAGCACTTGTGTCATGTGAGATGGAAGGCAGGACGGCGAAGGGCTCCCCAAAGGTGGGGCCTGAGCACCCGAACGGAGGACCGGAAGGAGCAAGGTCAGTTGCTGCGAGGACGTGGGCAGCAGGCAGGGGACTCGCTTCCGGCCTGGATTTCAGAGACGCCTGCTGGAGATGGAATGCCTGTGAGCACTTGCGGGCGAGTCAGCCTGCTGCGCTTCCCTGGGGGGGTTCCTGGGCCTCAGAGAAAATCAAGGCGCCAAGGCTTCAGTACTTATACTCGAAAGGGACACAGGCAAAGCCTGCATGAGAGGCACATTCTGGAAGGCGGGAGGCAGCATGGTGGAGGTGGCCGTGCGAGCCCAAGGAGAGACTGCCGGAGGAGCCACGGCCCCTGGTGTCAGCCGCGTGTGCTGCGAGAATCTTGAACTCTTGGGCTCAAGCGATTCTCCCGTCTTGGCCTCCTAAAGTGCTGGGATTCTGGTGTGAGCCACAGCACTCTGCCGATTTTTCCTTTGTAACGGAAGGAGGAACAGCGTGCTTGCTGCTGATGGTGAAGTGCGGCCATGAGGAAGACATGATGCGGGAGGGGAGAGTTTCTGGTGCGTGATCTTAGGAAGGGAACAAGGAGGAATGTCTGAGGTGTCCTAGGAGCAGCTTCCATTCCTCTGCCGCAAAGAGAGAGAAGGACCGCTCCTGGATGCGGACGCTGGGTGGTGGGAATTGTGGTGCTGCCTTCTGATTCTGTGTTTTCTGAACTGGGGCAGGGTGATGCGCTGAGAGCGCGGCTGGAGGACGCGGTGGGTTGGAGGGACGAGGAGAGAATGCGTGTGCACGTGTCCCCTAGGGGAGTGGCCGCTGGCAGGCCTGGCTGGAGAGTGCCGGCGAGGCAGGCATTAGAATTGTCGTGCGAGGAGGGCAGTGACTGTCTGCAGCGGCTGGGGGGGCAGTCTCGTCGGACGTCCTGCACGAGGTAGTCTGACGGGAGCACAGAGGACACAGCCGCTCCTTGGCACCCCTAGTGGCACCTACTGAGCAGGCACCGTGGGAAGGCTGGGCTCTGTGGAAGTGCTAGGCAGAGCCAGGTGGGCAGGAGCCAGCGACGGAGGAGATTTCGGTGGGCCCAGTGAGGGGACTTCAGGAGGCAGGGTCAGACCAGGGCTCTGTCGTTTAGAGAGAGGAGAATGTCAAGCAGTCTGGAGGTGCCGCGGAAGAGAGGCTCGTGGGCCCCCCTGAGCAAAAGAGAAAGAGCAGCGCTGGGCCCTGTGACGCCGTGACTCGGCCGGCATGGAGGACGGCTGTTCTTGTCTCTCCAAGACGGAGCAGAGGGAGAAGCCGTTCTGGTTCGTGCCAGTGGCATGAGGAAGTGGATGCGAGAACATTTTTCCTTTTCCATCTCCGGAATGTCAAGAGTAAGACTTTTCAGCGCTTACACTTAATGGTGTGACTCAGGTGACTTGCCTGGGTTTTGTGTTTCCTGTGGCATCCTTGGTAGAGGTTGAAATGGCAGTCAGATAAGTATCTCAACAAATACAGCCTGTTGCTTAAGCTTCATCTCTTTGGCAAATTAAACACAGCTCGATTGGAAAGTAAAACATCACTGTTAGTTATAAATGTGTGGGTTATTGTGATACTTGTTCACATTGAAGATTTTTAGTGTATCCTGTATTTTAACAGGTTGCGGTGTTTTACAGAGCTAGCCCAAGGCACAAGATGAAGATTATTAAGGTGAGTGTCTAAGAATCATGTTGTTTTATTTCTGTATACAGAATGCTGCTACTTTGTCTTTTGTTAGATTTGCATTACAAGGAGTATCAGAGTCAGGTTTTGTGGGTCAAAACAGGCTCTTTTTTTAAGCGCTTGATCTGGAAACAAGTAGAGAACTTAGTTGGCATAGGAAGATGTAGAAGAAAACTTCGATAAAATACCTGCAGATTAGGCCTTCTGCAGACTGTGCAAAAGTGTCTTCCGATGGATTTGTGGCCAAGTCATCCCAATGTGAACAGAGGTAATTAGTTAGACACTGAATAGCTGCAGTGAGAGCACTGTGTTCCGTGAGCGTGGACAGCATGTGAGAGGCTGTGGCAGTGTGTGTGGATCAGATACACAGAATGCACCTGCCATGGCACCAGTTATTTATTTAATGGACTCAACCACTGGCGCTGTCTGGTCATTGGTGGTTCAGTGGCCACTGCTGACATTTGGGATTGGATAGTTCCTTTTTGTAAGGGGCTGTCCCAGGTGTTGCAGGATGTGTAGCAGCAGTGCAGCCCCTACCCGCTTGGATGCCAGTGTCATGGCAATCAAAAATGTCTTCCAACATTGTCGGAAGTCCCCGGGTGTCATATCACCCCTGGTTGAGAACCTGGGGTTGTTGACTGACGATCAGACTTCAGACAGTTCTCGCAGATGGGAATGTTAATAGCAGCTTTCCCTAAGCTTTTGCTTACTGAGACCTCCATATGTTAAAGTTTATTGAGAAACAGGTAATCTGTATTATTTCTAATCTTGATTATATGAGAAAAACGGTTGGGCTTGTGTATCCCTTGCCTGCCTGGAAGCAGCGTTTTTATCGGAATTCCTCCTCCGCCCTCCCGTGCTCCATTCCAGTCTCTGCAGAAGAACGGCTCTGTCGTGGCCATGACGGGAGATGGAGTCAATGATGCCGTTGCTCTGAAGGCTGCAGACATTGGTGTCGCCATGGGCCAGACTGGCACCGATGTCTGCAAAGAGGCGGCGGACATGATCTTGGTGGATGACGACTTCCAGACTGTAATGTAAGCCTTGTTTCCTCGCATGCATGTCAGGAGGTGCATGTCTCCTGTCCTTCCCTACATCCCATCCCCAGACAGTTCCCCTGGAAGTGGACACTGAGTAAACCAAGCCATGCTGTTAGGTGAATCCATCTTCTGATTTTTGGCCCAGGGTGTAGTTTTGGAGATAATGATTTATATAGTTGGAACAGGCACAGTAAGTGGCAGGGCCATTCATTCAAGCACTACTTGCTGCGTGCCAGCTGCGTGCCACCGTGTCCCGGGCACTCGTGTCGTGGTATGGCCCGGGCCTTCGTGGGCCTTTGTTCTAGCTAACTTCAGGCAGCCAGAGACACACGCGTCATGACCTCGGAGTAAGTACTGAAAGCTGCCAGGTTGGCATCCATACCTGTTTCCTTGCATCAGTTATTATTCCTGTTTGCCTCCTTTCATGATATCAACTATTAGATTTGAATAGCTCTGTTGGCTCCAACCACAGTTTCCAGTTGGTTTTAGACTCCAGCGTAATGTCTGGTGGTGTCTGTTTCACAGTGCTCATGCAGGACGCATGTGAACCCGTTGTTCTGGTAACCGCCTGGTGGATGACCCGAGTCTTACTCGGCATAGTGGTGGAGTCTGGTGACACGTCCCAGGGGGCTGCATTGCTCCACTGTGGACAGCGTCAGAGCAGAGCCTTCAGGATTTCAGGACTCACCGTCTGCCAGGCGTGTGCAATGACTTGAGACTTTTCTTTCCATTCTTAGGGTTACATAAACATCTTAGAAGGAAGGAGAAGTTGATTAAAAACAGCTGGATTTGGCCACATAAATGAGAAAATGTATATGACTCTCGGTGAACCATATTCTCTTTCTAATGCCTCTGCAGCACACCATCTGCTTGTGTATAGGGGCAGCAGCTTCAGCTCTGTAGTTCTCTGCAAATCACATGCCATTGTCATATGATTCCTGAGATACATTAATTCAGCCCTTTGCCCTGCACCTTAATACTTCAGAGGAAAATGGGCTTGAGGTCGTAAAGGAGGTCATCATTTCAGAATTGCCAATGGGTGGCATTGGTTTGTGTGGAGAGACAATATATGATTCTGTGTGGAAATGTCTTCTAAGGAACAAGTATTTTCGGCCAGGCACAGTGGCTCAGTCTGTAACCCAGCACTTTGGAAGGCTAAGGCAGGAGGATTGTTTGAGTCCAGGAGTTTGAGACCAGCCTGGGTAATATAATGAGGCCCTATCTCTAATTTTAAAAAAAGAGAAGAAAAAAATAACTTGAATATTAAAACTAATGAAATATAATGAAATTGAAGTCAAACTCTTATGCTTGACTTTCTTTGTTAACATGAATGTTTCCATGTTTCTTCTAATTTTTATTAGGTGAAGAAAGTAATGTTTTTAGCAATACATATGTTATGTTGGAAATTTATTTTCAGAGTTAGCTCTATAGTGCTTTAGTATAGAGATATGTTTATGTTATATTTTCTCACTTCATCTTTATTTTTTCAATTTTAGGTCTGCAATCGAAGAGGGTAAAGGGATTTATAATAACATTAAAAATTTTGTTAGATTTCAACTGAGCACGTAAGTTTGCAAAGAAGTTGGTCACCATGGGTCTTCTAGATAAAGTATATGAAAAGTAGAACTTAAGCAAAATACCTAGAACTTTCTGCTATGTATTTCTAAGTATTGTTCATGTTGGTTTTCCAAATTGAAAATTTTAATTATATTCTGAAATTAGAAATACTATGAAAAAATAGGTTCAAAGTGTGAAAATTAGATTCTGTGTCATCATCAAAATACATCAACCTTTGTGATTGACAGATTCGCTCATGAAATAACTAAGGAGGAATGAGTCACATCTCCTTCTTTCTTCTTGGTATCCTTGATCAAAAGGAGAAAGGGCTTTCTTCTGTAGTGAAAAACATTTACCAAAATATCGTTGGAACCCTTGGCTGTCATGTAGATATAAAATATCTCCTTTTCTTTTTTATTATCCAAACATCTCAGAAATCCTCTGTTAGCATACTCTAGCTTTAAAATGTCCCCCTGATTAAAGCACTGATGACATGGAATATAGTCTTCTTTTAAAAGCACAGTAGCACATGAGATTTTTAAATGCTCAAAAAAGGTTTACCATAAAGTCAACAGATTTTTAAATGACTCTTTTTTTCAACAGGAGTATAGCAGCATTAACTTTAATCTCATTGGCTACTTTAATGAACTTTCCTAATCCTCTCAATGCCATGCAGATTTTGTGGATCAATATCATTATGGATGGACCCCCAGCCCAGAGGTAAGAGTTGTTTCATGCATGAACTAAAAAGACAGGGAATGTACAATACCCTGATAATTTAGTTTTAAACTTGAGTCATAGACAGCATTGGAAAACTTTATAGCAGTGTTTTTGTTATAAATTGTGTGATGTGTGCATACCATTTATTTGCTTTTGAGTGTGCACTCATGCGGTATCTTTTTATTTCTCATAACTGGATGTCATGAAGAAATCGCTGAGTTCAGTGTTGTTACCTAGGTTCTTTTGTCAGTTTTAGAGACTTTGGAAAAGCGTCGAGGGATCTGAGTGTCCAACTATTTTTTTTTTCTTGTATGATAAAGGGGTCGTTGATGGTACGTGTCATTGGCCACTGCAACAAATCATCCTAGTCACAACTTCCCTCTGTGAAAGATATCTCAAAGTTCAGTGTGTAGCTTATGTATTTCGCACTGCATTTGAATTGAACAATCTGATACATAAGTTAAGTTGGAAAAGGTTTTTGAAAGTAGATTCTCAATCCCCCATCAAACTGTGCTAGATAAATAAGAGTTAAAGGGGAAGAGAAATAGTGACAAAATCAGTAGTTAATTTAAATAAATTGTAGCCAAGGTTCTCCTTATGATTCAATGTTTTATTTTGGTCAGAAAGCATTTTTCTGGATACATGAGATCAGTGAAGTTATGAAAGTAACACAGTCAAACCATAAGACTTTAAAGTGATTCATTTTTCTTTTTGTTTTCAAGCCTTGGAGTAGAGCCAGTGGATAAAGATGTCATTCGTAAACCTCCTCGCAACTGGAAGGACAGCATTTTGACTAAAAACTTGATACTTAAAATACTTGTCTCATCAGTAATCATTGTTTGTGGCACTTTGTTTGTCTTCTGGCGTGAGGTATAGTAATTGGATAAGCTGCTGTATTAACAAACATTTTTAAAGAGTTTGATTTCAATCTCTGTGGATTAAGAGAATTCTTGATTCATATGTTAGAATTTAAATCTTCAGAGACGTATTATATACAATAAAAATACATAAAATAGGGAGAGTTAGAAAATATAAGTCTTTTATAGTATAGCTATTTTATTATACAGAATGACTATTTTATGTACAATATATAGTTCATGAGAAGATTTTAAAACTTTTTATTATGTAGATAATAGCTCTTCCCTAGGTGACTTGTAGAAAATTTAGGTACTTTTATGTGTCCCATCTTCGACTAAGGTATTTCATTGTAAGGAAAAGAAATTAATTATGGTTTAAAAGCATGCCATTTTGTCCATTAAATTCAGCCACTGAAAAGGCATTTTGCTATGTTCTCTTAATAGCTACGGGACAATGTGATAACACCTCGCGACACAACGATGACCTTCACGTGTTTTGTGTTCTTCGACATGTTCAATGCACTAAGTTCCAGATCCCAGGTATGCTCAGGTGATCTTTGCTGACTGACTCAATTGAGTAGAGCACTCTCATGAAATGTAGGCAAGGGCACGGGTTTTTAGCTTCGCTTCATTTTGTAGCCATAGATTAGAGCCCCAGACACAGCCTTCGTAGAAACATGTGCCACTGGTCAGTCACAATGAGGGACAAAGTCACAAAAGAAAAGTCAGTCACAAAGCGCTTGGGGAGTGGAGAGGCCTTAAGTTGGCTGGATCATCACCGCGGACCACCAGTGCCGCCATCTGACTTCTTTCCATTTTCTCACTAGCTGTGGCTGTGAGATCGATTCAGGTTCACATCTCTGAGCAGGGGACGGACCTCACGAGTTCTGTTAAGATGGCATCTGTCCAGTTTTAGAAGAAAGTGTTGCTGGGACTACAAAAAGGATTTTGTGCATTTTTTCCCATCACTTATGTCAGTGTATCCAAGCTTAGAACATTTTAATTTTGCTTTTCTTCCCATGTTGTATCTTAAGGGGTGAGTGCCTCTTGTTGGTCTGAGTGTTACGATAGAAAATGGTGGACTAGAACCTAGTGATACTTTTTCAGAGCATATTGTCCTTGAACTAGCTTTATTTTGAGGCATGACTATTCAAGTTTAAAGCTTTTTATGAATCCTTTACTCTGTTACCATTGCGATGCAAGAACTTTTCCAAGTATGTGAACTGTCACTTTTTTAGATGAGATTTTGAAAAAGCCGTAGTACTCATTTTTAAAGGAAAGGTGGTTTTACTGTTCATGCACACATAACAAGGTCTGTTTTTCAAAAAAGGATGCTAGATTATCCATCTTAGTGAATGGCCAGAAAGGATTTAGCAAAATACAAGTGAAGCTTCTTAATGTTTGGGATGCTAAAGTAAGTTTCCTTTCTTTCTATGGCCTCATTTTTATAGTGTCACTTGGTTAAACTAAACTTTTTCTTGGTAAGTAGAAGCAGCTTTAATATTGGCCCTTATTCCATCTGAATTATTTCAAGACAATAGTTACGATTAAGAGAGTTCAAGGCATTGACATGGCAGAACTGAGTGGTTGCCCGATAGTGCTTGTCAGTAATGGGAAGGGGCTGTGGTCATGAAGAAGTGGCCTCTGTGACCAAGGGCAATGACTGAATTCTCTGCTCTGCCCCAGACCAAGTCTGTGCTTGAGATTGGTCTCTGCAGCAACAGGATGTTCTGCTACGCCGTCCTCGGCTCCATCATGGGACAGTTGCTAGTGATCTACTTTCCTCCGCTCCAGAAGGTGTTTCAGACGGAGAGCCTAAGCATACTGGGTAAAGAACTCTTCTTGACTTACAGATACTAGATGAATTGTTGTATTTTCTGACGTGTTTGTTACAGGAAAGTTCTCTTAAAATGGTGAAGACAGAAAAGTGACTTGATTTGAAAAAGGAGTGTGTACTGTTTTTTCACTTGGGGAAGTTCAGGGGAGTCACTTAATTCTCGAGTTTTAACTTGTTGTTGTTAAAGTACTTCTCCATTTTGTATGAAAAATAAAGTTAAGCTCACTCAAAAACCAAATTGCTCTTCTTTAAAATTAGAAATTTTAATAGTTAAAATAATGTTTCAAGGTGAGAGGACTGTCTGAGCCCAGGGGTTCGAGACCAGCCTGGGCAACTTGGTGAGACCTCGTCTCTACAATAAATCACACACCCACACACACACCCACACACACACACACACACACACACACACACACACCCCTAGCTGGGTGTGGTGGTGTGCCTCTGTAGTTCCAGCTTGGAAGGTTGAGGTGGGAGGAGCACCTAAGCCCAGCAGGTCGAGGCTGTGGTGGCCATGAATGTGCCACTGCACGCCAGCCTGGGCCACAAGAGTAGACTCCAACTCAAAATAATAATAATAATAATAATAATAATATTTCACTCTTCTTTCTTGTTAATTTACTATCTAATTTCATGGAATTGACCCTAAATGCAGATTGTCTTGTAAAGATTATGTGGAAGTTATATATATTATTTTCTCATATACCTTGTATTAAATGTGTGATGTGATACATTTAAAAGTTAATTCTTCTGTGTAAGAGTGAGGAATGATGTATTTGATGGAAATGCTATCCTTAATTCTAGAGTCTTGAAGTTAATTTAGGTATTTACGAAAATGAGTTATACAGCCTTACTGTAGTTTTTGCTTACAAAGTTTACCTTAACATTGAACTTAAAAACCGAACATTTTAATTCCACATTCTGTCTGCTTTCTCTTTTTGCAAAATGGAGTTTTAAGGAGACAGCTTCAATTTTTCCAGCAATAAATAAGAATTGAGATCATGTGAATACCATTATAAAGACACATTCTTAGGCTTTGAAGTGGAACATATTAATGTAAAATTTTAAATTTCCTGACAGGTATTTTTCAGTCAAATTGGATTCTACGGCTTGAACAGTGCTTTTTTAAAGGGTGCACGCTCAGTTAAATAAAAAAACTTCTCTTGGTCCTGTGTTAAAGGCTAGCTACATAGAGTCATGTCCAGGGAAAGTGGTTGAGGACATGGGTTCTAGTTCTGGCTGCTGCCTTCCCCAGCTGTGTGACGTGGGATAACTCACTTAACGCCTTTGAGGCTTCTTTTTCCTATTTTTACCTGAGGAGAGTTGTCTGCCTCAGGGAATGGTTGTCCAGCGAGGTGGTTAAGGCTAGACAAATGTAGGCTATTAAGCTTTGCGATGGTCCGTTCCAAAGGTAACGCCAGCTTCCTTCCTCCTGCAGACCTGCTGTTTCTAGTGGGCCTCACCTCATCTGTGTGCGTCGTGGCAGAAATCATAAAGAAGGTCGAGAGGAGCCGCGACAAGCCCCAGAAGCCCGCCAGCACCACGGCGGCAGCGTTCCTGGAAGTATGATGCACATTGCATTCTTTCGTTTGCACACCCAGGGGTTGCCGTCTGGGGCCGTTGAGAAGGGCACGCTCAAGAGGATGATGAAGATCGAGGACTTTCTGGCTTTTCATTGACTAAAAATGAACATTCATGTAAGACCTGGTTGAGACTTTAACCTGCTGGCAGTCCCAAGCGAAGTTATGCAACTTTGATAACCTATTCCTTGATTTAAATTGGCTTTTGAGGTTGAGTGGAACCTTGTAAAGCATCTGGGCTGTTATTTAATAAAAAAGGAAGGCAAACCTGAACCACCTTCTGCACTTAAAGAGGTCTAGCGGTACAGATACACTGTCTATCTTAGCTAGATACAAATATTTTTTTTATTTTTAAATATTGTGCTATTTATGGTGGTGGGGCTTTCTTACTAATACACAAATAAATTTAACCGTTTCCAAGGCATTCTGTTTCGCTTAGGAGTTGATTTCTGGGAGTGCTGTGCTTCAGCTACTGTGTGTCCTCTTCCCTGTACCGTAAGCAGTTCAGATACCTTGGGCCACCATGTTTGTATCTCACGTTTTTTGCACAGGATGCGACCACTGTCAGATCACTGTTCTTTTCTTTCTTTTTGTGATTGAAACGACTATGCTGCGATTTGAAGTAAATTTTTGCTTTTCCTAGTAACCGTCAACGGTTGCTTTATTTTTTTCACTCCTGAGTCCTTGGTACCACAGAATTAATGCCGGGTGATCAAGTGGCATTCTAGTGAGGGTAACAGTATCTGTGGTTAACACTTGATCATGGAGTCAAACACTGAAGAATAATTGGGCTGAGATTTATAACATTATATTGATGTGTCATGCCTCCTTTTCGAGGGTTAAATATAAATGTATATTTTGTCAGCTGTCATTTGGTCATCCTCTAAACATAAATCCAGGTACCTCAGCTGAATAACAACGGAATTTTACTGTTTTTACTGTTTCTTTTGTGTGTTTGTAAGGATATCTCTTAGGAAGTATAGGCTACTGTGCTTAAAGAATTATAAAACCCCACGCCCAGACAGACAGTTTAACGTGCCTGTGGGAGCATCTGCTGGCTGTGCCCTTGCGCCGGCAGCGACTGGGCCCAGGTGGCAGCGCAGCCCTGAGTTCATCCCCTCTCTGTTTCCACCATGTTCACCACCACCTTTGTGCCTCAGCGGACAGGCTAGGGAAAGAGGTGGGCTTATTTTACCTGATGCCATTGGTTTCCACAACAGCTTGATGAAGTGTAGCTAATTTGTTTTGAGTGTGCAGCCTATTTGAGCCAGAATCAGAAATTTGTTCTCCTGTTGAAGATTTCTCACTATCCACAGAAATGGGCCTCCATTTTTACAGGTTTAGTTCTTCTTGAAGTTCATGTGTTTTGTATTTTAGAAATAGGATAAACCACTGTAGTTCTTACCTAGTATTAAACTGCAAGTGTTAGCACTGAAATTGTCTATTCTTTGAGTCCCTGTTCCTGGGACAGTTGAGTTGAGGACCTGCCATGTATCAGCTCACTCTACCCTTGAAGGCTGAACAGTGGTGTGTACGTTGTTCCACGTCAGTAGATGCGGGGACCACGGAGGCTGTTGTCTGATGAACTCTCGTTCTGACTTGATGTCTCACACCTGAATTTTGTGATGACTTTTCGTCTGTTACAAAGACTTGAAATACAAATTAAATGCACGTCAATCTTTTTGGTCTGCATTTTAGGTCCAGATAATGGCTTGTGTGAAATGAATATGCCTGTCCTTTCGTTTGGTTTTTGAACTATAAAAATAAAACAGTTTCTTTCCTAAGTTAATGACCGCCCATTGGGACCGTCGGCATGAAGGTCATCCCGTGGCTGTTGCACGTGCAGCCAGGATGCCCGGCACTCAGAGCCTGTGACTTGCAGGGAAGCTGGACGCAGAGCGTGGAGCCAGGCGTCAGCTCCCACGGTCTAGTCAGCCGCGTTGGCGCAGACTGCTCAAGGGGGCTGGCGTCTACGGTTCTTGCTTGTACTCCATGTCCTCATCCTGGGACGTGCTCATGTCCCTGACAGTACTCACCTACTTGATGTTTTTCCCCACTAGACTACCCGTACGGTTATTTGGCCCCCCCGTGGCTAAACACTGAGGAAGAAAACAAAGGAACTTGAAATAGTCATTGCCGAAGGAAACGGTTCTCGGATGTGCAAAACTGGCCACGTAGAAACAAGGCAGGCTGTGTTCTCCCTCATGTGTGCTGGGTATCACGCGACTCCGAGATGAAACCATGAAGAAACCCGCTCCTCAGGGGACAGTAGTTACCCTCCTCGGCTAAGACATGTTTGTCACCTCTCACACCCACGTGGGGCACGTCTGTGTCCCTGGTGTTCTTTCTGAAATCACCTTGAGTGCTGCTGTCTTTGACGCAGTGCATAAGTATGGTGAGTACTGGCCATACTGCAAGTAGCTTCTTACTGAAATGAACCGGCGGCAAACAGTAAACACAACAACCTTTAAGTGCTATTTTAGTCTGAGCTCCTGCAGTCTAAACGGTAGCTGATTTGGATATGAAAGCATGGCGTGCAACTGGACTGGCAGATCATCCTGATGTTGAGCTTCCCTGAGCTCAGCTAGCACGTGATGCTTGACTACGGACTCTGGTTTGGCAGCCTCATTTTGGGATGTGGTGTCAAGAGTTGGCTTCTTGCTGACATGGGCAGCGGCTAGCCAGTCCCTCAGGCTAATGTAGATGTGACCGTCTGCAAACAGCGCTGTGGGTTTGCACTTACAAGAAAATCAGGGGTGGTGTCTTGCCTTCAGAAGTTCCCAGTCAGCGCTGGAGACCGAGTGAAGTGCATCCGGCACAGTGCTGAATGCTGTCCAAAGCGGCCAGTCGCCGAAGGAGAGGACCACCTTCATGGGAAGAGGTCGTCAAAGGAGGTTCCTAGAACGAGGAGCCTGAACCAAGCGCTGCGCGTTGGGATCCTCCGGCCAGCGGGAGAAGTACGTTGCAGCCAGCCCCACAGCTTCTGCAGAGTGCGGGCCGGGGTTGCAGGGCCACCACGCAGGCAGGGCGTGTACCGTGAGGGCTGGAGCAGTGGGCAGAGCCTCGTGGTGGGGGCAGAAGCGTCCGGGGGCAGGGAGCTAGTTGGCGCGGGCGTGGATTTTGGTTTTGCCCTGATGGAAGCCAGTGCCGTGTTGGTGGGTCAGTTGTACGGGCCGAAATCAGGAGACTGACTGGAAAGTCAGGGAAGCCGAAGGGATAAAGGGATAATGGAGCCTGGCCGTCGGCATGGAGAGGGAGGCATGGAGTGTCTCTCTCCCGAGCAACAGACAGCACTGACGTGACCGGACAGGAGACAAGGAAGATGTGGGGATGCAGTTCTGGCCTTTGGCTTGGACAGAGGCATTGGTGGGACACCGGTCCGTCTGACACTGTGTGTGTCAAGTGTGTGGTGTCCTTAAGCTCTCCCAGTGGACGTTTTAGACGAGCTTTCTGAAACAGGAGTCAGCAAGCGCCATGGCTAGCCTTAGAAGCTAGGAGAAAGACAATTTCCCTTCCCCTTTTTTCTTTTTCTAAAAGTAAAGCAGTAACTGAAAGTAAACTCAGCTTTGACAGAATAAGATTTTTTTTTAAAGTTCCTTTAGCATTCTTTTTACTTAATCAGCAAACAGGTGCATGGATTCAGAATGCAGGGGAAGATGGGAGCATCAGTCCCCTCTGCTGCTACAGGAAAGGCTGATCTGAATATTTTCGGTAGCTCACCCTTTTGATATTCACAGTAAGACACTTTAACAAGAGGGTGAGTGGGTGGGTGTCATCTGTGTCCAGGAACTGCAAAGTTTAGAGTAGCGTTGCTGTTTGAGGAAACCCCGGTGAGCGAATGACGGGGCCACTCGAAACAGCTGGCTCCGAACAAGTAGTTGTCTGGGAGGGCAGCAGACAGTGTTGGGCTCTTGGGGTTTGTTTTGCTCCTGATTCTTCCCTGACCTTTCCACTCGTCCTCCCACACAGTGCCGCAACACAGTCCGCTTCTGGATCTTTGTGGACAGTGTTCCCTCTACTCGAGACCCTTTTGACTGTGCCCCCTTTTGAGAATCAGAACATCTACCTGAGTTTCAAAGCCCGCTGACGTGCCAGCAAGGGTAGCCTTTCCAGGTCACTCCAAGGCATGTGTGTGGAACAATCTTGCAAATACCGTGAAGAGTAGATGCAGCCACAAGCTTGGGGTATAAGCCTGTGAGATTTTGCTGCTTTAGAAAGTATTAGACATGTAAGTCCAAGCCACTTCGCTAAGTCTGGGAAGAAACTTGATGGCATCTTTTCTTTTCATTCAAAGCGATTTAAGTGTCTGAGTTTGGAGAGAATCGTGAAGCCATTGTTGAGCCTTTAGTTCTGACCCTCGGGAGCTCTCTTCTGACTGAATCCTGTTGGTGTCTGATGTCGCGGCGCGGCCCGTCCCTGTGCGGCCACTCCAGGTGGGCAGCGTTGCACGTGCGGCTCGCGGCTCTCACCTGCCTTTGCTGTTCCTTCTCACCAAACTGACAAATACCGAGGCAGAGACCTGCCTGTCCGTGCCGGCCCCTGGCTGCTGGGCCTGGCAGAACATCCTTTCGTGTCTGACCGCGGGTGCCCACCACCGTGTCGCTCGAGCACTGATGGTGGTGGCATGCGTGGTAATCTTGAGCAGAAACACCTCAGTGTCTGGATGCTCGGTGCCAGACAGTGCATGCTGCTCCATGTGAGTGCCAGGGTCCATGTCAGGGCTTGTGACGGGGAACACTTTACCAGAAAGCTGTCTTTAGTGTGGTTGAGAAGTATTTTTTAAAAACTACTAAAAATACTTTTGAGTTCAGCAGCTCTTGGCGCCCACACTGAAGCGCCCTGTAGTTGGGAAGTGGACTTGGTGCCATCCTGTGGTTGTGAATGTTGTAATGCCTCGACCACTTGCTCACTGTTGTCCAGCCAGCATCTCACAAGCATAGCATGAAACAGCTTGGCGATTCTGACCTTGTCCTTGGAGCAGTATTTAGGAGACCCCAGCCAGTCGGGGAATGATGCGGAAGATGGATGTCTTATAGGAAAGCCGCGGCCACCTTGACGTCGAAGCGTCACCCAGCCAGTCTTAGGAAGCTGCGAGCAGTGTGTTTTCATGATGTTCCTTTCTCATGTTCATCTGTGTGGTCATGTCACAGGACTGCACTGGATTTCTCAAGGATCTTTCCACGTGGGGCTGGTCTGGGTGGCCCATGAAGCAGCTAGAGGTGTCACAAGCCAGGGAAGCAGTCTCTCTTCGTCCTCCTCGACTCACCCCATGGAGCTATTGCTTGGTTTCGGGGAAAACAAGCTCTGGGGAACAGGCCCAGGCCTCCTGCCTGTTTTTGCAAAAGCAGCTTCATTGACACAGCTGCGCCCACGTCTCCATCACAGCCTGCGGCTTCCGTGCTGCCACAGAAGAGGTGAACAGGTGCGGTAGAGCCCACGTGGTCCACAAACTCCGGAATCCTCACTATCTGGCCCTTTACGGAAACGTCTGCCTGCTTGTTTGGAGGCTCAGAAGGGGTGACAAGGCCTGTGCCGGGCGTTCGGTGGCCTGGAAGGGAGGCGGCGTCCGTTCTCTGCCCTGCCGCCTCGACAGGACGCGCTCTGGGGTGGACGTGCTCAGGAGCACTCGTGACGTCAGCGGCTCCTGGGTCTCCGCCAAGGTTGCCCTGGAGAGCTCGGTGACTCAGGTTGTGCTCAGAGCGTCGTCCACGGGAAGACAGGCCGTCATCACCAGCCCCGCTCGTCCAGCCCCTGCGTTCCTACCTGGGTGGAGGGCTCTGGCTGCTGTCCCACCTGGGTGGTTGTGCTCCCCCCACCCCGGTTTTTATCCATGTGAAGCAGACTCTGCCTGTCTGATGTCTGCTCCGCCCCCATCTCTGGCACTCCAGAGAAGTGGAGGTTTCTCTCTCATGGTGACCCAAACCCAGAAAAAACAGGCTGAATTTTGGCCAGGCATGGTAGCTCATGCTTGTACTCCCAGCACTTAAAGAGGCTGAGGTGGGAGGGTTGCCTGAGCCCAGGAGTTAGAGACCAGCCTGGGCAACAGAGTGAGACCTTGTCTCTACAAAAAAAAAAATCCAGAAATTAGCAGGGCGTGATGGTGTGCTACCTGGGAGGTGGAAGGACTGCCTGAGCCCAGCAGATTGAGGCTGCTGCGGGCTGTGAGTGTCATGATCTTGTGCCACTGCACTGCAGCCTGGGCAAGAGTAAGACCCCAACTCGAAAAAGAAAGTAAGAGAGGCTTAATTTGAATAGGCTGAAGTATATTATCTTGCGTAGACACGACAAAGTTTAGTTAATGGAAAAAATTAAGCTATCCCAACAGCCTCACCGTAGGGAAATAATACACTCTCTCAGTTCTCAGAACATTCTAAACCAAAATGTGTTGTGTAGTGCGGTCATCCCTTGGTATCCATGGGAGGTGACTGTATAGATTTGTAAACAGATGTAAGTATATGAATACATACAGAGGAAAAGACAGCTATTTCAACCAAATATATAAAATGTTATCGAGGCTAGAAGAGATTGCACATGTATTGCAACTTGCTTATTTGAAATTTGACTTCTCTCCCTGAAAACAGATTCCACTGAAACCAGCTGCAACACTTGGCTCATTTATTAATCCCATATTACCAGACTAGTAATTGAACTTTAAGACTCCCTCAGTGGGAGGTTCTCATCCTAGCATTTTTATAGCCGCATGGGCTTGAGGTTTGGCAGAGCGGCTTGTCTTGTATGGCCTGCAAGGCTGTTGTGGAAAGTGGGGAGGCGTGTTTGTAATGCATCCGTCCAAGAGTAGGACTTAATTTCAGATTGGTACAAGTTGCAGAATCCCTGCCACCTGTCACGACTGAAATGTGTCTTCAAAAGACATCATGAGATGTCCAAGTGCCCCACGTCCACTTCGTTGAATGCACTTCGTTGGTGCCATGTTTGGAGCCGGGCACTAGTGAGAGCTTGTCCCTTCTCCTGCTCTTGGTGGTGACGCTCTCCAGGCACTGCTTGGGTCGGCTGTGCAGCCAGCCAGGCAGCTCCGGGGAGAGTGCGTCCCGTGACCCTGGCGTCCCTCGTGGCATCTCAGCACCAGGTGACCCCAGCATCTGCGCTCCAGGGAAGACGGGCCATGCCTCCAGCGCAGGGCAACAGCGTGGGGCCTGGACAGAACCCTGGCGGTTGCAGGAAAAGGAAGTTCCCAGGGAGTGGGAATGTCTGCTCTTCATTTTTTCCGTCTTTCAGCCCGCCTTGGGGCTCTTCCAGCTGAGCCGAAAAACACTACAGAAAACTGACAGAGGAACAAGGGCTGGAGGGACCCAAATGCTCACAGGGATACTTCCTTCCGGCTTTCTCTTTAGTCCCTGGGCTTGAGCACAGCCACCCTTGCCCTCTTTGCTGCCCTTGACCGCGTTGGTCTCCGCCTCTGCAGCAGCTCCGCCCTTCCCCTGCAGCCTAGTCTCTGGGGTCCCATCTCTGCGGCTCCACGCGCTTGCTGCGTCCCAGATTCCGTGCGGTGCTTTTGCTTTTTGAGTGTAGACAGAACAACAGTGGCTGTCACGTGGTATGTCCTTTTCTCCAGTTCCTGTGCTGAGTCACTGAGGAACGCATGTTGTTTCATCTCTAGATGATAATTTTATTTTTTTGAGTTGGAGTCTCACTCTGTCACCCAGGCTGGAGTGCAGTGGCCGCTCCCGGCCACCGCAGCCTCGACCTGCTGGGCTCCGGTGATCCCTCTGCCTCAGCCTTCCAAGGAGCTGGAACTACAGGTGTGCGCTACCATGCCCGGCTAATTTTTGTTTTTTATTGTAGAGATGAGTCTAGACAATAATCTGAACTGCTGTAATCCTCATTGTACAGGTAGGGCAGCTGGGCATCGTCATGATTCACTCACTTTCGTGTATCAAGGAGGAAAAGATAATTCTGAGGCCTCTCTGCCATAAAGGCCTTTTCCTCTAAAATTCTAATTAACTTGAGGTAGATGTTCAAGTTCAGACACCAGAGTTAATTGAAGTTCTTTTCCCACGATCCAATGGCATGAAAGACCTGTAGCGGGTATAGTCACGGGATCTGAATTAAACTGCTGAGGTCCAGGGGTCTTGCATAGGGCTCGCACAAACAGACTTCAACTCTAATTTCATCACCACTGAATACAGAAAGTGACTGCACGAGTGCTTTTCTGTCTCTCCAGCTTTATCCCCGAAACTACCTTAGTCGTCCCGAGTTCCTTTCTGTCACTCGAGCTGCTGATTGAAGACGGTCTCCGAGCCTGAAGCGAGACTATTTGCTAGGCAGGCTCAGAGCAGGACTCAGCGGCTGGACTGCAAGCCGGAGCCTGGATGTCAGCAATGGAACATGGGACGCCCAGCCGTCTGCTGCTGCCCAGGTGTCTGTGGCCGCCCACGCCCGATCTGGCCGACAGCAGGTCCAAGCAACTCTGGCGGCTCGAGCGCTCCTCGGGGCGCGTCTCCCTTCTGAAGGGCTCAGTCTGTGCTTGGCTTTTTGCCCCTGGCAGCCCGCTGTATGGAGTGTCTCGTCACCTTGTGTGTCTCTCCTCAAGCAGCATAGGTAAGAATGACGGGGGTCGGGTAGCACCTTGTCGCCGTTCCGTGACCCCCTCGCTGTCTCGGGGAATGCCCGTGGTCTCTCACACACGCAGGGGAGACGTGGCTCGTTCCTGCTCTCACTTCCCAGCGAGCTCACGTGAGCGGCTGAGGGCAGTGGCTGGAGAAGGGAACTGCCAGACTTCTGCTGCAGGAGGATGCCTTCGGTGAAAGACGGGGATCAGCACCATCCCGTTGGCTTTTAATTACGGTCTGTAGCCCCCACACTCCTTTGGTGCCTGTCAAGCCGCTTGCTGAAGTGGGAGTGAATGGGTTTCTGCTCAAGGCTGGTGGTTTCAAAAGGAGGTGCTGCAGATAAGCCAGGAAATAGGACACACACTGGCCTCGTTTCCAGGTGAGCCCCCAACTCCAGGACTCAAGGAGGAGAGGATGTTAGTATCACAAAGGCCTCGTGTGGCCATGGCCCCAGTGGATCTCTGCGTTCCAGCCAAACCCACATCTTCTCAGAAACACTCAAGTTGCCCTTGATCCTTCTGGGAATCGCCAGGGCGAGATGCTCGTTACCTCACCAAGGAGCCTCACGCGTTCCTCTTAAAATAAACAAGATGACTGTGTTGAAGAGCTGTCATCTGTGAAACGAAGGCAGTTTTTAGGGCTAGACACTCGAGCAGCAAGTGACATCGGGTTTCGCCTCTCCATGCTAAAGCCAGTCAGCATTTGAAAGGTGTGTCGCCAGGCTCGGTGGCTCAGCCTGTCATCCCCGCCTTTGGGAGGCTGAGGTGAGTGGATTGCCTGAGCCCGCGGGTTCGAGACCCGCCGGGGCAGTGAGACCTCATCTCTACAATAAATCAAAAAATCAGCCGGGCGTGGTAGCGCACGCCTGTAATTCTGGCTACTTGGAAGGCTGAGGCGGAGGGATGGCCGGAGCCCAGTAGGCGAGGCTGCGGTGACCGGAAGCGGCCACTGCACTCCAGTCTGGGGGACCGAGTGAGACTCCAACTCAAAAAAAAAAAAGAAAGGTGTGTCTACACTGATGCCGGGCTCGTTCCTCTAAGGGTGTGGCACTCTAGGAGCAGATATGAGGACCTGGACATGGGCCGCTCACAGCGGATCTGGAAGCCACCTGTGGTGCCTCACAGGTAGGATCTGCCAGTGGCAGAGGACAGACAGACAGTTGGTGTGAACGCAGGGAAACAGGTGGGAATGTACCTTCCGGTCCTGCCAGTGCCTTCATTCTACTTGCTTTTCAAAGTTCTTATTTGGGCCTGGCTGGCCCGTTGACAATTCTGGTGGTGTACACAACCCTCGTGGCTTCCTGTGTCCTGCCTCTCAAGCTCCTTGACGCCACAGTAGGAAACATGCTGGGTACAACCACCTGACGCACGATGCAGTATCTCACACCTTCCACTCTACCTCTTCGTGGAAGTGCTGGGATGTCCGTAGATGCATCTGCCCCCCACTGGCGTGTCCGCAGCTCCAGTGCAAGAGCCGGCGGGTGTCTTCCCTTCTGCTCATGTTCTCCTCCAGCTCTAGCAACCTACGGTGCCGCCTCTTCCTCTGTCGGGGCCATCAGTTTCAGCTTCTGCTTTAAAACCTGGAGTGCACGTCAAGTGCCCCCGTCAACCCTGCCTGGTCTCGTGTACTGCTGCTTCGCTTTTAGGAGACCGTTTCTGCCTGGCATCCTCCCTTCCACCTTTCACAGCCCAGGCTGTTCAGACTCAAGAACAAAGAGGAAACTGGAAATGTTTCTGAAATGATGACCAGCTTCTGCTTAAAGGCTGCTGTAGAGGCAGCATTTCTACTTTGGAAATGTGGCTGGTCAAACTGCTGCCATTTAAAGACGACAGAAAATTCCCATCAACTTGCCGAGATGGAAAATAGGTACAAACACGTTGTCAGCCATGTCTAAGAAATACAGAAACTGCATTTATTAGGAGCTGCATACAAAATGCCCTGGAATTAAGATCATCTTTTGCTGTGTTCCCCCCAACATGTTAGCCCTAGAGAGGAAAGTTATGCATTCAAGGGAGGTCACAGGCGGGTCTGGGGTCAGAGCCGTGTCTCGTCTGACGCCACCTGAGCGGGCTCCAGGTCGGAGGCCTCAGGGTGCCCTTGCAGGCTTGCCGCCATCAGTGGCCCGAAGCGGTTGCCGCCTTCATGCCAAAGCCTGGGGCGCGAGGCCCTGCCTGCCCAGTTTTGCCCGCAGCTGGTGTTCTGTTTCTTCCGCCTTTTCTTTTTTGAGTTGGACTTTCCTTTGGGGAGGAACAACTCAGCAGGGGCGTACGGCCTTGTGGCATCCAACAGCTGCTTGTACAGACGCTCAGCCTCGGGACACACGCTCAGGAGACTCTCCACGGCGCCCGGTGCCCGCAGCTGTTGGCACAGCCCGTGTACCAGGCTTCCGCTGTACAGTCTGCGGGTGGAGACAGAAGTGCGTTGTTAGAGCACGGTTCCACAGTGGGACGGTGGTCGCGAACAGATACAGCTGCAGCCCATGCCCTAGGCAGGAGCACTCTCCCTGCGGCCACACAGCTGCCGCTCAGGGGACCCAGGACGGAACCTTGGAGGACGGAACCAAGTCCCTGTGACATGCAAAAACGTCCTATCAGCATATTAAGCGTTGCGCGCACAGTAGCGTTACAGGCAGCCCCAAGTTGAGCAGACCTCTTTGACGCTTCAAAGAGCAGGAAAACGACAGGCAGTTTGGTGGGAGAAAACTTAATGGCATCATCTGCCAGGCCATTCACTCGGACTAAAATTGGCTTCGTGAATAGAAGATGGAATCCACTGGAATCCACAAGCTCAGGCACGGGGTTATGGCCAGAGCCGGTCAGCTGGAGCCTCGGCAGTCCACGCAGAACCCTCACGTAGCCTGCGAGAGCCTTGCTGAAAAAGCCCTGGCTGTGCTGAGATGCAAGACCCGTTCTCCTGCTTAAACCGTTCTTAAGAGGACTGTTCGGTCTTGCTTCTCCTGTTTTGTTTTCCAGGGGTTTGTGCTCACCAGAGGATCCAGGCAAGACTGACCCAGGTTGCTATAGGAAAGGAATAAATCCACAGGCCGAGGTTCAGCGAATCACGGAGTCCCGCCCCCGTGTTCTGCAGCCTGGCACTCATCCAAAGCCCTGAGGGCACCGGGCTGCAGCAGGAAGCAGCCCCATAGCCCTGCCCCAGAGCCCAGGCCTGAACCAATGGGGGAGCAATATTCCAGGTGGTAAGAAGTGCACCCAAAGCTGGGCACGGTGTCTCACACCTGTCACCCCAGCACTTTGGGAGGCTGCGTGGCAAGAGGAGTGCTTGAGCCCAGGAGTTCGAGGCCAGCCTGGGCAACATGGCGAGACCTCATCTCTACAAAAACAAGTCAAACAAAATGGAATAAAAATTCAAGAGTAACAGGGCTGGGGTGGTCAGAAAAACCCTCTACAGAGTGATTTCCAGACAAAGACCGACAGAAGGCGGGAATGGGTTACATCCCACCCACAACTGCTTCCCTACCAGGTTCTAAAAAGGGGGTCCAAACTGCAAACATGCTTTGGAAATGTAGAAATATGGTACTGTCTTTCCTGGCTCCAACTCCTCGGATCAATGCTACGGCTTCGTTTTTAGGTCACCTTCTTTGCCTCGAATGCAAGTACTCTGTCTACCTCTGTGGCGTCGCCTGAACCGAAGCCCCCGCGGAAGCCCCCACGGTGCTCACCCAGCGAGCTCCGGCTCCGGGAGCGGGTTGCCCAGTAGCTGGTTGAGGTACACGCCCATCTGGAGGCAGCACTGCCACTGGCTGAAGGCGTGAGCCGCGTCCAGGTCCAACCTGGCGCCCCGCTGTGCCCGCACGCGCTGGAGCACGTCCTTCAGCGTCCTGGTGCCGCCTTCCCGCAGCTCGGCCGTCCCTGGATGGAGACACAGCCCAAGGCATTTCCACAAACGCTTGTCCGTTTCTCTGGAGTAAAACTAAAAGTCTTATGAAAAGAATCTTAAAACGGTTCCCCTCTTCTGGCTCTGCCATGCTGTACACAAGACCATTCTCTCTACTGTCCTCTACTAAACCCTCATCCCACAGTACACTTGCGTTAAGGAAACAACCTGTGTGTTCCAAGCACATCTCGTCTCTGTTTTACGGGAGGAAACTTGAGCACGACTCGGAGACCCTGGCAGATGACCGGCGAACGCGGCGGAGGCCGGGCGGGCGGGAGGCAGCAGCCCAGGACGGGAGGGGGGGGCGCGCGCTTAGCCACGAGTGCTGCAGGTGTGTGAGCCGGTCCGCACGGGATGCCACCTGGACCGCCCTGGTGGTCACGAACAGGAGCGTGCTCCCCGCAGTGAGGCCCTGGCCAGCCTGGGCGCGGGGCTTGACACGCCCTCCGGTTGGCCTCCGCACTCAGCAGCTCCACTGCATCAGCGCTGGGGAGAGGAAGCGCCCTCAGCCGCATTCCCCAGCAGCAGGGCCTCGCCTGGTTCGCGCTGAGCTGGCTGTCGCACGACTGCAAGGTCCCCGACAGCGGCTGCCACGCTGGAGCCGCAGCCTCGGAGGGTCAGGAGTCCAAGCAGCTTCATTTTCCCACTCAACTTTTTCTTTTAAAAAAGTCAACGCAGAGCAGCACCGTCCCGCAGAACTCCCTGCCGCCCCGGGCAGTGCTGAGCCTGCAGCCAAGTGACTCCTGACCCTTGACGTTGGCCAGTGCGGCTAGGCAGCCGAACTTCTGACATGCCTTGAATTTAAGTGGCCACAGGTGGCTAGAGCTACCTCTGGACAGTCCTGTTCTAGCGTGTGACCGTTCCTTCACGTGTGGGGAGCGTTGCGGCACGGATGATCTTTGAGGAGAACACTGCACCAGCGAGTAAGCATGCCCACACGTCAGCATTCATTTCATCTGGTGCTTAAATGCGGACAAAATGCCTCTGATTTCTCTGGCAGAAGGAGCAGCTCCTATCTCTACTGTCACTGCTTCCGTCCTGACCGAAACACAGCAGAGGGCATGAAAAGACAAGCAAATTAAAAAGGCACCAGCGTGGTGTTTACAGAAGTGGTTGCAGGCATTCGCAGCTTCTCTTCTGGGCAACTTAAAGACGCTTCTTCTGGGGAAGCTGCAGCCGTGCTGATGGCAGGGTGGGGCCCAGGGAGTCCAGGCCGGCGTCTCACCGCTGCTGCCCAGGGCCAGGCCCTCCAGCACTCAGTCGGGCACCCCGGCGTGGGCGCAGCCTTCACCAGCAACTGGTGACACTGGCTGCCTCCACCTCTAAGTTCTGCCGTAACCCACAGGAGCGAGTGAGCCAAGAAGGCTTCTGGGAAAACCCCGGGTGTACGCACGGCAGGCAGTCCACCCGCCCCAGGCCGCCCGGTCCACACGCAAACACCTACCCGGGCTGCTGCCAGCGTGCGGGGCCCCCGCGAGCATCCCCAGCAGCAGGGCCTGCAGGTGGCGCAGCTGGACGCGGACGTCAGCCTGCTGCAGCCAGTAGCAGCTGACGGCGACGGGCAGCTTCAGCGTGGCTGGGACGGGCTCCAGCACCTCCGGCTTCACCCTCAGGGCCTCCAGCAGCAGCCTCTGCCGCCGGCCCGGGGGCAGCTGGAAACACACTCCAAGCAGCCTGCAAGTTACTGGGGGAAATGGCTTTCGGTTGTTTAATAGCACGGAGAGAGTTAACGCACACGAAACTGCTGCGTCTGCCGTTAAACTTATCTCGGCGCGGGAGAAGAGCCAGCCACGCCCAGAGCACTGAGAACACACGTCAGATGCTCGATGGACAGGGCTGGGGCCTGGGTGCACTGTCGCCCTCCCCTCGTGCCCACCCCCCAGTGTGGCCCAAGAGCGTCTTCCGGGCATGTGTCGCCCGGGAAGCTTGTCCTCAGGCCCTGCCTCCTGCGTTTCGGCTCCGTCATGGGCGGGCAGCCTCCTTTCTCACAGGCGGCCCAAGCTTTTCCCCGGGGAGCCATGCTCCTCAGCGCCCCTCCCCTGCCTGCCATGCGGCTGTGGCACCATCACGGGCTCCTTGGAAAACAGCCTGGCTCTGGCGCCCGTGGTGGCATGGCGCACCGCCTCTTTGGGTCTGCCTCAGGTCCCCTCCCTGCTCTCGGGAGCTGGCTGAGGCACACGCGCACCTCGAGGCCCCCGAAGCCCGTCCCAGGTGACGATTCTGAGTGCCTCAGGGGCCACATGCACTGTGCCCACGGCCCCACACTCTCACGCGTACTTCTTTTACGGTTCGACGAGATGACTTTAGTGCCGTTTGTTAAAAAAAGCATGACCACGCCATGCTTTCGGATGACCTTCACGTCCGAGCGAGGCCGTGACCCTGCCCAGAGGGCTCTGAGGTTCTTGGGGAGACGGTTTCGCCTCGAATGACCCTCGAGCCTTTGAATATCCCCGGGGCCCTGAACCCTCGGCTGGACCCGGGAAACCCCCGATGGGGACGGATGGGTTCTGGGTTCTGCACGGTATCTGCAGTTAACCCGCCACTGCACCCATGTAAGCAGTTCCTAGCTATTGGTGATTTCAAATATTTAGTCTAAAAGCCGAAGGCCACACCGGAACCCATGAGAATCGGTTCCCCTCAGGAAGTAGGAGTCTGAGCATCACTCAGGCTTACGCAACGCTGAGTTTCCAGCACCCGACGCAGCACCCGACCACAAAGCCAGACCCATGGCAAGGTCCTCCTCACTGAAAACCGACACAGGAGCCGAGCGTCAGCGCTCCTCTCAGCTGCAGCCTGGAGCAGTCTGAGGCGTCATTCCTGCGATCTGGGTCTGTGGGCACCGCTTTTGCAGGGCAGACTTTCTCCTTTTTGTTCTGCCACATGGCCCCATTCTTTTGACAGCTGGCTTTGACATCACAGCAGTAACTGCGACGATAACAGATGACGGAAGCACAGGAAACGCTAGGCTTGGAGCTAGATGGGCTGGGTTTGGGGTTTGAGGTTCGAGTCCCAGCACCGACACCCTCCAGCTAAGATTTGCCTCGTTCGCTCGAGTTCTGCTGTTCTCGTCTGTAAAGCGAAGGCCAGGCTGCACCCAACCTCACCAGTCTGCACTAGGAAGGGGGAGCACTTACGTGGCAGCGCTCGGGAACCTGTAAGAGACGCAGCTTTACTGAAACTTCACTGGCGCTGCAACGCTTACCTCAGCCAAGCTGCTCAAGTCAGAACAGTCCTCGGGCAGTTTTGCCGCGTCGACGACGGCCGTTCTGATGCTTTTGCCCACCCTCTCCACCTCCCTGAAGGCGCGGGGCTGCGGGGGCGACGTGCTCCAGGACGCACGTTCCGGGTGCGGCGAAGCCCCAGACAGAAGCCCGTAGAGGACCTGCCGGATGGGCTGGGCTGCCCTGTGGGCACTGGGCCGCTGCAAGTCTTCCACCTGCGTGTGCAGCAAGGTCCGTCGCAGGAGCAGCGCGTCGCTGACGAAAGGAGACAGCTGGCCTCTGGCGAGGGCCACCCGCACCCACGGAGGCAAGGCCTGGCCCAGGGCGTCCGGGCAGACGCACGCGCCGTCCCGGAAGAAGTCCTGCAGCCTGACCGGCGACTGCTGGTACTCTTCCATGGACCGGCAGAGGAGCTCCCGGACCTGCTCGCGGCCCTTCTCCGGGAGGTGCTCCAGAACCTGTTCCAGTGCCGCCGCGGCGTCGGCAAAGCGGGACAGCCAGTTGAGGAGTCCCAGGACCCGGCGGTGCCGCCCCCGCCTGGCGGCGGCCCCGAGGGGCAGGCAGGCCTTGCTCAGGAAGGTCTCCACGACGGGCAGGCAGACGTGGTCGTTCCCGCACAGCACGGCGAAGAGGGGCAGCAGAGCCCGGTCCATGTTGCCGAAGCGACGGCAGAACGCATCCAGGGAGAAGCACCTGGCCGGGAGGTAGCTGCGCGCGCCCCCCGCCGTGGCCGGGCTCCTCCACTGAAAGCCGTCGAAGGGGCAGAACCCCGTCTTCAGGTCAAAGACGCAGAAGTCGCTGTCTGACGACAGGACGGGGCAGCCCCAGTGGTTGGCGAGTGTCATGATGTCCCGGTCTGCTTCCGAGAAGCACTGCACGAACTGCACCCGCAGCCTGACCAAGACCTGAATGAACACCTCGCGGGCCAGCAAGGGGCACACACACCCACCCCCGCCGGTGGACAGGGCATGGGCCGCCTGGATCTTCTCTCGCGCCCGATCCTTCAAGGTTGTGAGCTTTTTGTCGGAAATGTCACAGCCGCCATCCAGGACAACGTAGGGGCATATGTCACAGGCGAACAGCGACTCAAAGAACTTTTGCACCACCTCTGCAAAGGAATCATAGTCCCCCCCGCACCGCAGCTCCAAGTCCGAATTGAAGCAGAGTCGGTGGAAAAGAGCATAGCCGTCGATGATGAGTTTTGTGTCCCGCAACTTTAAGTCAGTGAAGAACTCGTTGCTGTGATCTTCCACAAAACTCATGAGGCCTCGGATACCCATGACAGCGGTCTGAAGAACTGCCTGTGAAAGACAAGAGGATGCGTTTCCATGGATGCTGGTGACGGGGCACCACTTCCTTGCGTCCAGCTGTGAAACCAACAGCAAACATGACCACCTGCTCTTCAGCCAGCACACGTGAATGCCGGGCTCTGGATTCTGATCCAGAACCCCGGGAAAGCTGGCCCGGTGCCTTTTGATTTTCTCGCCTTCCCGGGGAGTCCCGAGGCCCAGACCAGTGGTTTCGCGGGCTGGGGCTCTGTGTGGGAGGGGAGGCAGCTGACTCACAGAACACCCAGACCAGTCCATTCCTGGCTGCCAGCCCAGAAGTGCGGTGGATTTCAACTAAGGCAGCCAGGCCATCTCACAGCGCTCAGCATTCTTTTGCAGGGCCAGAATAAAAAGTCCTAAGGTATCCAGGTGATGTCCTCATCTGTGTCTTAACACATCAGAGGGCACTGGGTTGGGGTCAGCTGAAGCTGGAGGACCGCTGATAGGGATCGGTTTTTTTTTAACTGACAATCAGGGAACTTCTTTCAAGCCCCGGGCGAGCGGGCAGCTTTCTAGGGGACCCAGCGACCGGCCTCCCCCAACCAGGGCTCTTTTCTCTTCCCATCTTTGCCCACCTGGTTCAGGGCGCCTTCCCTGGCTAACTGAACTCAGGCCGGCGCTCCTGGGCGCCCCTTGGCTTCAGGCGTGCACGTGGCCCGCCCCGCGTGGTCACGAGCCCGAGTGTGTTTAAAATCGCGCGCTGCA